CCGATTTTAAACAAAGACACTAATATAACCCACTGCTAGGAAAACTATGAATAACATTATCCTGAGTTCAAGGACCATGCAGCAGTGGGAATTAAAACATGATTAATTCAAGTACTGGGTAAATTGGACTTCAAGTATCTCAACCAGCTCTCTTCACCGGACATGTTTTAATCCATTAATGTTGCTAAACAAAAACAGAATGGGTGATTATTAAGAATAGAGTTTCTTGGGACCAACAGTTAGTGTAATGGCTATGTCGCTGGACTCCTACGTAGTCAACTGTGGTTCTAGTCCCAAACCCGGTGGCTTAAGCTCACGCCAGGCACGTGTGCATGCGTGCCCATGATCCCGATAGGAGAATGGAGGAGAAGGGATTGCAGCGTGGCCATCCCCCCTGGGGGGTGATTTCTCACTTTCTGTCTCTCTGTCTCTGTAGCAAGAGCACATGCCCTGTAGCAAAAACTGCTCCAAAAAAAATAAATAAATAAGAATAGAGTATCTTTGGCTCACAATTCCAGTGGCTAGAAAGACCAAAGCATGGGACCCACATCAGGTTACCTCGGGTGCTACATTACAATATGGCTGACAAGCAGAGTAAGGCAGGCATGTGTTAAAAGAGAAGAAACAGAATCACCCACTTCCTCGGTTTGTCTCATCCACACCTCCAGCTGATTGGATAGTACTCTCCCATTACACCTCACCTCTGAAAGGCCTCATTACCTCCCAAAGTCATCATACTCGGGACCACACTTCCCGAACATGATCTTTGGGGGACAAACCATTGTCCAAAACATAGAGACATACCAAGGACAAACTTTGAAAAACCAAATCAGAATATTCTGCCTTTCCTTGGGTCATAACTTCCCAATCTCATTATAAAAAAAATGTACACTTTTAGACCCAGTCACATTTCACTGGTAGTAAGAGTGCTACTATGTGGTACTGGAAGCCATATGGGAAGGCTTCAGGTTCATGTCTTGAGTCTTGTTTTTATATGCTGGGCACATCCATGATACTGTCACTGCAGGCTCTAGGGAGGATCATGGTATGAGGACCCTTATGAAAATGTCTGTCTCCTCTCTCTCTCTCTCTCTCTCTCTCTCTCTCTCTCTCTCTCTCTCTCTCTCTGTCCCTCCCCTCTCCCTCTCTTGTTTCTGAAGGAAATAAATAAACTTTTAAAAAAAAAAAGTTACTACTTTATGATTAAAATGAATCTTTTGCCCTTTCTTTTGTCTCTAGTAGCATTCAACAGATTCTGGCCAGTCCCAAATCATTTTCATTTAGTCTTTGTCTAATTTTTTTGGTGCCCTCTACTTACCAGAGATAGGAACGTAGACGTAAAGTATGCTTTTAGAAGGACACTGCTAAATATATACTAAGTTCATTGGTATATTACATTCTGCTTTTGCCTTCCATTGTTTTTGACAGTTGATATGTAAAACGTTGGCAGTGCCCCTAGCCCCTCTGCTCCCTCCCCTGGCAGTGAGCAGCTAGCCCAGGAACCATCCTATGTAGCAATTGCTAGACCAACCAACAGAACCTCCACAACAGTGTCCCTCAGCAGAGAGGAAGTCCTAGAACTTTGGAAGGAATAGATGTGGACTTCTACAGAAGCTGATGTCTAAATACCAAAGGCCTGAGCAAGAAGTCCCTCCCTTCCATGTGACTCCTCAGTCAACAAAACCCTATCACAGGCAGTTTGTCTGGAAGTTCCAGAGGTAAGGGAACCAGAGATGGGGTCTCTTCATGTCACAGATAGTAGTTTTTCAAAGATGATAATGTTCATCCTATTTGAATCTGAGAGAAATTAGGCTATTTTGCTCAACATCCTCAGTCTGAAAGATAAGGACGATTATAGGACTGGAGTTTGTCTTACCTATGTGCATGGCCTTTTCTGTCTGGGGTTTAGCTTAATGACCTTCACACAGAGAGAGCCAACTGTGAGCTTCTCCTTGTTAATGGACTCTTGTGTACATTAACATTTTCTCAGCACCCACTAGCTTCTCCTGGAGTGAAAGCTACATGGTGGTTCTGGAAGTAATCTTCCTCACATGGTGAGTGAGTATTAACTCCCCAAAGGCCTCGCCTTCACCCTCCTTGTTTACTTTAAGATTAACATGGTCAAGGCTTTCTTAACACATTTTGGCTTTGTACCAAAGAGAAGATGCTCCAGAGCCCAGGCATCTTACAGAAACATGAAATGGATGTTTTGCTGCTTAACGCATCAGGAGCTCTTGGTGAGAGAGGCTAAAATCAGAATTTTCTTTCCACGATCTCTTTCGTCCTGGGGCATTTTCTATTACCTCTAGAAAGTGGAGAAGAGATGGCCAGGCTCCTCTATCCCTTGGGGACTCTAGTACTTTTAACTATATTTCCCTTTGCTCATGTGCCAAAGGAGTGTCTACAAACAGCAACTGAGCCAGTGTCACAGGGACTCTGTGTGATTCCTTCAACATAGACAGTGTGTGGGCTGAGTTTTTGTCAGGGACTTGCCCCTGCACATGGCTTCTCATCTGCACTTGCACATGAGCTTGGGTTAGGGGCATTTCAATCACCTGCTGTCACAGTGCTAGGCTGTCTGGTTCCATTCTCCCCTCCAGTCTCATGATGTCACCTGAGGGCCTTTCAGCAGGTTGCTAGGGCTTCTTTCTTCCTTGGTTTTCATGTAGCAGGTTCCAGGGATTTCTGAATAAAGCAGAGCAGATTGCTCATCGTCTTACCCTTCACTTTCACAGAGGAATATGATGACAAGCAGCCACTGACCAGCAAAGAGGAAGAGGAGAGGCGCATTGCAGAAATGGGGCGACCAATCCTGGGAGAACACACCAAGTTGGAAGTGATTATTGAAGAATCCTATGAGTTCAAGGTACGCTCAGAAACACTGCCCACCAGGGAGGCCAGGCCCACCTTGGGACCACACCTATTCATAGTGTTGGCCTAAGCTATTGCTTAAGATCCACCTGAAAAGAGAGGTAGATATAATTTCAAAAACTAGCTCTTTGACAGAAGCCTTCAGAGCCAAATTGGAATTATAGATTTAGTAAGGAAACAAGGGGTCCTATAAAACAGTGTCAGAACCAGGCTCTGGCAGGTGGCATCTGACACTAGGCAGAGTCAGAAGTGCTCCAAAGGGAAGGCATCTAAGGGGATAACAAAGTGGATTTTATTTACTTTATTTTAGTTTTTAGAGAGATTTTTGCTACAAGGTATGTGCCAGAGAGACAGAGAGAGACAGAAAGTGAGAAATCACCCCCCATTGGGCATGTCCACACCTCAGTCCCCTCTCTTTTACTCTCATCTCATGATTTGGGGCACACATGTTCACGCACCTGGTGTGAGTTTCAAGCCACAGGGTCTGGAACTCTAACCACCCTTAGCCATGTAACCATTATGCCATCTGCTGGTCCCACAAGGTGGATTCTAAAGGGCTCTTACAAGTGAAAGAAACCAAGCTCTCTTTGAAAAAGCTAATAAATCAGTCAGAAAGAAAGCATTCACAGTATTTAAATTAAGAGGCTTTTGTTTTGGAAGGGTGCTCCCTATGGGACACCTCACTGAGAAGCTCTCGTTTATATTTACTCATCCTCTTCAGATTCGAGGACATTTTAGCACAGTCAACATAATGAAGGTATAGTGCCTGCAATCAGAGAGTTTATAGTGGAGCTGATACAACTGAATTCCAAATTTTCAGAAGTTATTGATTTAGAAGTTGGTCTTTGAGAGTGCTTCAGACTTTGAGATGAAGCTCCCTGTCAATCTTCAACTGCCTCTTCTCCCCTACTCCACCTCCCATGTCTTCTCACCCACACCATTCTAACATCTGAGAAGACTAAGTTCTGTAGTGGCATATGGAAAGGTGTATTTTCCTCTCTTGCCTTCCAGAGTTACAAACCCAGAGCACATCAGTAGTTTTCTCCATTTATTTTTCCAAAGGATATTCTGCTCCTGTTGAAAAGCCAGAATGTATTTTCCAAAAGGAAGAATCAGGCCATCAATTAGAAGCCTCAGTATCTTATTTGTATTTTTCATAATAGTGGACTGTTTTCCTCCAGCTGGGCCCATTGTTTTGTTTTTTTTTTTTTTAATTTAGTTCACAAATTCAGGTAACTGATAGGAGCCAGGTGGAAAGCAAAATGACTTTACAATTAAAGTAGAATTTTTAAAAGATAAAAATGCAATTAAACTTTCCTTTCAGGCCACTGAAAAATCTGTTAACTCTTCTTTCATTGTCTCAGAGAAGGCCAGGGTAAAGAATAGCAACAGGGCTTTCTAGGCAGATCTTGACCATCAGAGCCTATCCGTAGTATGATCTCAAACCTGGTTTGTTACACACCCATGAATGGAACAAGCATGTATTCCCTATAATTCCAAAGGTATAGGAATCTTGACTGTCCCTGTGAACCAATGTCCAGATGTGTCCAATCTAAATCTTCTTTAAGCATTTTCATTCGATCTGTAATCAGAGGTGGTTGTGTCCCTCGCTGCAGCAGATTCTATAGGTTGGCATTTTTGGAACAAGCTTGCCTTATACCCATTTCGGGGTTTTCATGGGGAACTATGTGTTCTCTCCCTTATGAGACAACCCCCAACCTTCCTTTTCCATGCAAATATGATGGAAAGAGCAATCATAGTAATGTCCCTTAAGTACTGGGTTGGGTGAGGCAGGGCACAGTCTTCCATAAGGTATAGCTTTCTTGGGTCCAAAGACTTCCTTGATAACTACTACAATGATCTGAGTATTTGAAAGTCCCCAAGTCTCTTAAGTCCAGTTGTTTGAGGTATTTATCTATCCTTCTAGAACAGCTTTAATAGCTGTTCTTTTTTTTTCTCTTTTAGAGAGAGATTTTTTTTTGCTATAGGGCACATGTGCTTGCCAGAGAGAAAGAGAGAAAAAATCTCTTCTCCTCCAGTCTCTTCTTGGGATTTTGAGCATATACACACATTAGGTCCAGAACTTGAACTGTGGTTGGCCATGTAGGAGTCCAGTAATCTAACCACTATACCTGTGTTCATATACTAAAAAAAATTGGAACGATGTAACCACAATACCATTTGTTCTTCTTAAAGTTCATATATACAGTTACTATCAGCACCTAAAGGGCATCTTGGGAGTATATTTCTGAAGTGCTCTCAATTATCAATTTTGATACTATTTATTTAAGAAATTTATTTTTCTAGAACATATCATTTTAAATAACTTGTCAAAGCTCCCAGAACTACATTTGTGATCCACATCCAGGTGGATCTGCTCCCAATGCTCTGCTTTGTCCATCAAGTTCTTGCTTAGTGTGGCATGACCAACAGTATGGCCTTTCCAATACCCAATGCTCAGAATGAGATTTTCACGATCTCTTTAAAAAAGTCTATTGTAGTAAACAGCTAGTCATTGGCATTTAGTAACCATTCAGGTAAATAGAGTTGGCGATGTCTGAATTCAGATGTCTGAACTTCTAATTCATCTTTACTTACTCCCCTTTCTGTCATAGATCAAGGCAGAACATAAATGTAAGTTAAGTCCTAGAAGAACCCTGGCTATACTATAATCCCCCATGGGTAACAGGAACTAAAGTTGAAAATCTAACATGGATTTTAAACATATCAATGTTAGATTTTATTTATCTTTAAAATGTGTTGTTTAGTAGATATTTCTTGAGGAAAGTCTGTGTTCAACTGTTTATCACCCAGGTGATGGGGTTTTCTGCCATGGAATAAGCTCAAAGAACTTTAGAGAGAACTGCCCCATATTTCCATTCCACTCAGGAAAAATCTAGGTCATTTCTTGATACATTTTACACAACACTTGGAATTGGCATAAACCAAGGTGCTCACAGTGCTTAATGAGATGTGGCTGAGTTGTGAAAGAAAAGACAGAGACTTGTTATGTGCTTCAAGTTATGGTGGCCAAGAGGGTGACAGTTACAACTTCTATCAGGGGCACCAGCATTTCAGGACACAAGACTAAAAGCTGAAAGCTCACCACCAGGACATGCAATTCAGTCAAGAAAAATGTTGCAAATACAGAGTGAGCCAGTTGGAGATGGGCCCTTTCCTGTTTGTTGTCTTCTCAATGTTTTAAGTCAGTTTCAATGATTCTTTTTGAACTAACATGCTTAATATTATGATTTGGCTCTGGATTTGCATACAAGCCCCTCAAATCACGTTTCACTTACACCCAGTTAGCTGATAATGTGCTGTATCTCAGGCCATAGTCAATTCAGTACACTGCATTAAACATGTACAGATTTTGACCAAAGACAAGTAATGTGTATTTTCTGCCTCTTTGCAATTAGTGGCAATTCGAAGATGCTCTGACAGTAAGTGTGGATGTTTGGTAGCCTAGTCGATGTGGTAGTATCTCTGGGAAGAGCAGCCTCGATGCTCTGGAAATGACCCTTCTCCCTGTAGTTGCCATGATTCGTGGTAGTGCTTTGGGTGCATCTGCTTACTTAGTTTTCTTGTGAATGCTTGGCTTCTCCTGTTGTTACATAAACTGGATTTCGAAAGCTAGAGAGTATAAATTGTACAAAACTAAGTGCTTAAAAAGTTCTAAAAGAAAAAAAAACGAAGGACATACAGTTGAGTTGTGGTGGTGCAAAGAGGAGGGTAGTGACTGAGCCCACATGGGAAATCTGTCTTTGGTTTCTGGCCCAATCTAACAGGCTGGACACAGTGGCGTGTGCCTGTGGTCCTAGCTAACTGGGAGGAAGTGGCAGGATAATCTCAGCATCACAAGACTCTGCCAAAAATATCCTAGTTTTCTTTCTCTCTCTTCCTCTCTTTTTCTTGAAAAAATAATAATAAATAGCATGCAGCACAGTGCTAACAAAGCAAGGGAAATTCAGTGCGAGGTAAATTGAAGTGTGCCTTCAACCACAGGCACTACCTTTGTCCTATCTTTTCTTGTCTTATTAGCAATACAAAGAGGGTGAGAGTTGAATTCTGAAACAGCAGTGAGGCTCTCCAAAGCAATAGCCAAAGAAAAATCCATTTATTGATGATTATGCTGCAAACAACCCTGAGACTCTGCTGTCTGGTTACATTTCATTGATGAACAAAAGAACAATAATAATAGTTTTTTGTTTCATAATCTGTCACTTCCATTTATTCATAGATATGTAGTGCTGAGCAGAGCATATATTAATTCAGTTGCAGACAGTGCACTCACTATAGATGAAGCCAGTAAAGAAGCAAGTTCATAAAGCATTCAAAAGGAATGGATGGGTGTTTGCAACATCTGCTATGCTAGACACTGGGGCTATTCTTCATTGGCCATTAGTGAAGGGAGCTTGTGTTTGCTACAAAGAAGTTTCCATTTCAGAATGTTTCCAAGTAAAGACCATGCTTGTTTGCATAATCATAATAGTGTTTGATGTCAATACTGTTGTTCTAGGCCTAACATCTGCTACTCTTTATATAACTCTGAGGTTTCAAAATCAACAAGGTCTTAGATTTCCCAGAGGCCTTAACAAACCCAGGAGTTATTATCTTATTCTTATCAACCTTTCTAGAGTACTGTGGACAAACTCATTAAGAAGACAAACCTGGCCCTTGTGGTTGGGACAAACAGCTGGAGAGAACAGTTCATTGAAGCTATCACTGTCAGTGCTGGTGAGTACCTTTCTCTATATGTTCTAAGTAAAAATGGCCGAATCTGAACATAGTTTTCCTACTGTGGCCTACTTGGTCCATGGCAAAGTACTAAAGGGCATTTGTGGTAAAATTTAAAAAGAAAGAAATGTATTTGTCTGTATGCACATTCTAGAGACTAATTTAGACTATCTAGGTGGAACAAATGTCTTCAAACATGGCATTCTTCTCCATCTATAGTGCATTTTCTCTCTGGAAATAGGGTCAATTTAAAGCCTTTGTAGCTCTAATTCACTGGTAACCAGTCCTAAGAGTTTGACTGGAAAATTCTCTGAAAACAACGTGAAGAGGTTACATGAAGATTAGAAAGAAAGCAGCAAAGTCATAAGTGGAAAAGGAAGCCATTAAGACGCTTTGCCACTACCATCTGCATCATCTTACACTCTCTTCAGCAATATTTAAGAAATAAGTGTTTGTACTGGCTCTAGAAATGGAAATACAGTAATATTCCATTTCTTCCTATACAAGCAAAACGCAAAGTTTTATTTAGGAAAATCTTAAATGAAATACTTAGCAGATTTAAAGAATCAGATAACTAAGGGAATTAAATACATAAAGAAGTATCTCCTTGGCTCAACCTAGTGGCACAGTCAGTAGCTAAACTACAGTGCTGGAAGCACAGGGCCATCCTGGATTCGGATCCCCAGTCTGGGCAGCCTGAAACACACTGAGCATGCATGTGGACGTCCAAGATCCTGACAAGCTAGTGAGCTGAGGAAAGGGTATCATGGCATGACAAGATCCTGTTGAGGGTGCTTCTCTCTCTCAACCCTCTCTCCCCCTGCCCTTCTTAAGCTCTCTGTCTCTCCATCTCATGTATGCAAACATGCATCATGAATTTTAAAAAGAAGCATCTCCTTCCTGTCTTGTCAAATCTTGTCCATTTTCTGTGTAATTGTACAAAGATGGAAGAAAGTCTCTCGAAGGTTCATGAATCCTGGGATATTTTTTGTTACTTCTTCTGCTTCATCTTCATTATTCTTTTCCTTTAAGAATCTCTGTATGTTCATCTTTTACCACTGCAGCTAATGAACAAAGGTGGAGATTTCTAACTAGTGATTCCCAAGCTGTAAAATATGGAAACAGCATCACTAGCAATTGGGCCATCACTTCTAACACAACCCCCTCTTTACAATCTGCCATAGGATAATTTGACAGAGCTTCTAAGTGCTGTGGGAACAGAAGGTGGTAAAAAATGTTGTGCCTGTTTATTATTAGTGCTGTTTATAATCATGCTTTAGTTTCTTGCAATTGAGCACGCGATGGGAATGTATGAACATTAAATGGTGGATAACTGTTTAGTGGAGTAGATTTGGAAATTGCACTTAAATTCTAACAGAGAAAGGAGAAAAAAGCTACCTCTTTATTGCTTATGGTTTTTTTTTAATAAATCTAAAATTAGCATCTGAAGCATGAGCTATACTCCTTCACAGAGAGAACTAAACAGAAAAAAATAATGAAATAATGGTTTGAATAAAAAACTACTGTGAAACCAGTAGTTAAAAAAAAAAAAGGTTTGAAAATGAATGAATTGTTTTATGGTCTTTGATATGTCAGAATTGAACCATTTAAAGATTTAAAGCAACATAAACTCTGTAGTGAGTCGTTCCTCGTGGTTTTCAGGTTCCTTTAAGTGCAGATATATGAGCATTTGTGTAATGGCTGTGGGCTAGCCATCACTCATTCATTTTTCTGTGTCAGTCATTGTTCTTGGTAAACGTAAATGACAGTGAATTAAAGAGACAAATTCTCTTCCCTATGCAGAGCTTACATTTTAGTGAAGGTGATGGCAAATAAGACGAACTAGTTAAGTTGTATGTCTGATAACGAGTGCATCATGGAGAAAAATAAGGCTGTGGAGGGAGACACGAAGTGTGCATAGGGGCTGCAGTTTTAGATGCCAGTGTGACATCATCAGTAGACTTTTTTTTTTGAGAAATTTTTGTTATATGGAACATGTGCTTGCTAAAGAGACAAAGAGAGACAGAAAGTGAGAAGTCCACCCCCTAACCCCTCCACCGAGGAAGGATGGCCATGCCTCAGTCCCTTCTCCATTCTCCTCTCAGAATTTTTGGCACACACGTGCGCACACGCACCCAGCACGAGTTTCAAACCACTGCGTCCAAGACTAGAACCACAGTTGACCACATGGGAGCCCACTGCCTTAACCACTATGCCACCTGCTGGCCCCATCAATAGACATATTAAGGCCAACTTTGTTCCTCTAGCAGTGAAGTGTTGATTCATTTGCATATGTCTGTAACTCTCAGGGACAAAGACAACCCCTTTATTACCATTCTATGGGAATGAACAGACCAGATTTAAATAGTAAACAAGATTTTGTTGTCAGTAAGGCTGACATTGTGTCTTTGATTCTGGTTAGAACATATATTCAGAAAAAAACCCTATAATGATGTTAATACTTCTGTACTTGAAAGATACAGATTTGGATTTGCAGACATTTTCATATGTTATGTTGAGTTAAATCTTCTCAAAACTCCATGAGATAGGTAATATGAGCATCTTGACTTTACACAGGAAGAATTTGAGTCTCAGGGAGGCAACAGGCTTTGGAACACAATTCAGACCCTTGATCTACGGAGTACTAGTGAGAGAAAGTCCAAGCCATGTGGTGCAAGTGGTAGAGTGCCACTGCATGATACTGGGACCATATGGGAAGCCCTGGGTTCAGATCCCAGGGTGACCTGAACCTGCCAGTTGTTCCCTTGATCCAAGATGGCTAGAAGGTTTGGGGGAACAGGTATCACAGAATGATTAGACCATATCCAAGGTATCTGTGTGCGTGTTCTCTCTCTCTCTCTCTCGCTCTCTCTCGCTCTCTCTCTCTCTCCCTCTTTCTCTCTCTCTTGAAGTACATTTAAGGAAAAAAGAGAGAGAGAGAAATTTCAAAGTGAGCAAAATTGCCCCCCACCTCTGTCTCATTTACAAAGACAGTCTGCATGTCTACTGGTACCATGGTATCATCATTCCATGACTATTTCCTGCCCAAATATTTTGAAGAACTGTTAACAAATGAAATACAAAACCTTTTGAGTATTCTTATCTGTTATACAAAATATTGTGTTTTATGTTTTTTAATGATTACTTGGGAATACAGTAAAAATTGCCTAGAAATTTATACACTGCTGGGTAAATTGACCTTATTTATAATTTTGAGAAAAAAAAATCAGAAAAGAAAACTCATATTTTATAGGCACTAAATCATATTAAATTACAGGAAAGGCAGTTTAAGAAGCTCAATATTTGTCATTATGATTAAATTTAAGCACCTAATAGATGTTGATATTCTTAAATTTTACACAGACAATAAAATTCATAAAGCATCACTTATTGAAGACAGAATCTCATTGGATTTTAAGTTTCCATGGCTAAATACTTGAGAATCAGAACAATTTGCTTTATTAAAAATATCAAATTGCTTTTAAAGGGCTCTACTGAGAGCTTTTTTTCCTATGCAATTTTCTGTGCAAAATTGAGTCTATATATCTTGATGAATAAAAAGCATCATTTCATAAATAGGATTTTTCTTCTCTTTCTCACTAACTGTATTCAAATTAGTTTCAGGAAACCCTCCTGACAGGCTTTCTGTTGCCCTTCTTTTTCTGATTTTCATAGCTCAGAATCTGGGCCTAAGACCATTATGTTTCTGTGAACAGAGTTCTTATAGTTCAAGATTTGGAGAGTTAAGGGACTTATGCATCTCCAGAGATTAGGAAGGGATTAAACAGTTGTATTCTAGCGTTTCTCCTTCTGTTGCTTTCTGGTTTGAATACCAGGAGGTCTGTCATGCTGCAGTTAAATGGCTGTCAAAAACTTGCAGGACAAGTCCAGTACTATAAGGTACTTTTAAGATGTGTCAACACATGCACTTCTAAAGAAGTTAGCATTCACTATCTGTCCAGACTGAATATTCCCCAATTCCCTCTTCTTTTAATATCTCCCCCAGTGTAGAATAATGGGTTGACTTTAAGAAGCTATGTGCCACCTGGAATACAGGAAACAGGTATGTCAGAGAAGAGGGTAAACATTAGCTGGATTAAGAGAACCAGAGTGTCAGTGACAATTCCACAGTCATCATTTCGTTGTTCCTGACAATAGCCTTCAGCCAAGGAAAGGTGAAGGAGAGAGTGATTGCAAGGTTTTGATTGGAAAGAGGTATTGGTTTATGTTCCAGCCCTTCAATGAACTCCCTGGGTAACATGGGGTGGGCTTCACCTCAAGAGCTGTTTATTCATATGTAAAGTGTCTCACTCATAGAGTTGCTGTAAGGATTAATTAAGACAATATACATTTTTGTGAAGGCCATCTGTACATTTGAATACCAACGTTTATAGGTTGAGAACCAAGTCATAATGAAGAGTCTACCATAAAATATAAGCAAATTTTTGGCTGGGTGGAAGAAAATACACTACTTGATTTTTTTGTTTCTTCTGAGCCTCCCAAACCAACATGGTTCAGAAATGCTGCTATCATCCACACATACTCTGTGGATTAAGTGTTCTCAATTAAATTGAATTGTTTAATATTAAAAACTACCAACTCAGTGGTGCCCTTAAACAGTAATTTACTTAAATTATTGTCAACCTGAAAACTGAACCACTCCGAAAGTTCTAAATAACAAAAATGGTGCCTCAAATGTTAATTTCAAGGGCTTGCCACACAATCTAGGTGAAATAAGAATCTTTCTAGCATATCCTCTGTTATGAACCTCAATACTGTGGGGAAATTCTCAGTACTTAATGTGTTAACCCTGGGTCATCTGAACATCCCACTTAAGCAATTAAAAAAAAAAAAATCCTGTTAGCTCAGGTTTGAAACAACCTCAGTGTGACTATAAGACACCTAAAAAAGAGAAAGGATGTTAAGGATCGGATGTCCTCATTTTGCCCTTGTTTCTTGTGTGACTATAACAATTCTTAATTATCCTTTGTCTAAAATCA